AGACATGCACTCTGCCTTGAGGCCTTGCTAAATGAATTCTCCCATAGTCATGATCTCATGACTACTGTGAAAATCCAGCTGTGTTGTAAGATATTAAAAACGAGCCGCGGTATCCTCAGGGCTGCAGATTTTGTAATCCATTGACAGGGGAAGCAGAATGCATTAACCCGGTAGTGTATTAATATATTCACATAATTAGTTTCAAGGTAGCACAGATTAGTTTCATTGTATACAATCAAACCGAAAGGTACTGTAATCCTTGTATATGTTGGTAAAATAGCACACGTGAGGCAAATTTAAAGAACAAGTTCACGGAGAACCCAGTTTTGCTTCTTATTTTTAAATTGTGATCGCCACTCTGAGTTACATTCTTCAATCACTTAACATTTTTAATCCCTTTCCTTACATTTTTTTATCTTTTTTTAATCTTTGTTGTATTTTAAATTTTTTGTTGTTGTGAAGCGCCTCGTGATTTTATCTTGAGAGGCGCTATGTAAAATATTGTTCTCTTTCTTTATTTCTGTCTTTCATTTTGTTTATTTCTTTAACGTGCAGACTGAATGTGAAAATGGTCTTCTACTCCTATTTCTTGCATTAGCTGCCGATAGAAAATAGACGAGGAATTGCGTGGATTAGAACAGCCAATGAGTTTAGCATGTCATATTATAGCATTCATGGATTCACCCATCTTGGCTCCAGATGGGGAAGGCTGTTGTTTTAACATCCAGGAGAGAGCTAGCCTGGCCTGCCAGACTCCTCCTCTGTTTACTTCTGCACAGAGAAAGGCTCTGGGAACTCCTATCCAAATAACCCCACCCCGTGAGAATTCCAACTGAGCCAATCAGCGCTGAGTATCGTACGTCACACACCACAACGCCGAGTTTGTCATAAATATGGTGATTGAAATGGAGTTCGCTGCGGCTCTTTCTTCTGTTCTAAATGATTCGAACACGTCTTTAAAACCACAACAAGTAGAAGCGCTAAAAGCCTCTAATGAAAGATGTTTGCGCTGTTGCCAGACTCCATTTTTACTACAGCTAAAAATCTTTAGTGTCGCGGACGCTCAATTTCTCATAAACAATTAAGACAGCGGCGGAGTTCGCTGCGACTCTTTCCTCTGTTCTAAATGACTCAGATGTCTTTAAAACCACAAGTAGAAGCGCTAAAAGCATTTCTTCTAAAAAAAAAAAAAAGATGTTTGCGGCCTTGCCAGACGCTATTTTTTTACTACAACTAGAAAACAACAATAGCGTCGTGCGTTACAGTCGGGATTTCCGTCTTTTTTCTGATTGGTCATTTTTGAGCTGCCTAGTCCCGCCTCTCAAGTGCCTCTCTGCCTGTGAGTTACCAGACTCTTTCTCTGTGCAGAATTAAACAAAGGACGAGTCTGGCAGGCCAGGCTAGGAGAGAGCAGGGGTGTTACTCAGTGTCAAGGCAATGTCTTGCGAGGCCAGGCTCCTTGCTTACAAGGACACTGTCCTTCCTTGGTCAAAGAAAACGGTTAAATGGAACAGACTTGCATCACGTGACCACGACTTCCACGGTGGTCAAGTGACGTCATGTGACATGGGAGATAACATTATATTTTATATGTATTAGTTTCAATATAAATATATAATGAGCCTTTTACTTTTACTTTAAATTGTGTATATGTTTATTAAATTAAAAATATAAGCGAGTTACTACCCATTAGTCACTGAAGCTGCAACTACTAAGCAACTAACCAAACATAGATAACTTCTTTGGATCTTAAAAAAAACATTTTAAATTAGTTCACTTACTTTTAAACTTCAAATTTGCCCCCGAAGTAGCTGCCGGCTTCTGATCTGCCATCCTTTAGAAAATACAGCGGTGTATTCTGGGTAATTTTTGATCAAGGCTAGGCTGCAGGACACCTCCCGTGTATCATTCCTCAGCTAGCTAAATGGCTAACAAATGGAGAGCACTTGCCTCGGTAGAACATGAACATTGAAACACGTCTTGGTGGTTCCTGATGACGTATCTTCTAGGCAACCGGGATGGAGCCAAGACATCAAGGCAAGGTTCCTTGGCATTGAGAAACACCCCAGAGTACATCTCAGCTAGTAGAAGCTCACCGTTAGCATTAGCAACTCCACAACATGGCAGAGCTCCTTCAGGCTTGTGTCATTTGTGGAGATAAAACATTAATGCTGCAAAACAAATGGAGTCAGCGGTAGAGTTGTGTTGCTGTTTGCCAATCAGAGGAGAGATGCCCAAATATCAGGTAGTAAGACTCGAAATCCTGCCATGTTCACCTCCTCTTTGGTCACTTCTAGTTCCTGAAACAGGAACACCAGAGCTTTTTTGCCCTTAAAAGTCGACGTACAAGGCATTAATTTATATTGGAGACCACTGCAGATGTGTTGAAAAAACTAGTAACTTGGTCTTTAAAGAAAACACACCTTTTCCAACAACGCTAGGCTAATTTTATATTTAAAGCCTCAGCAGCCCATGAAGGGAGGCATATCACCCACTGCTTGTTCTTATGCTATATTTCAGGATGTTGCGTGATCTGTTGTGAATGACTCTCAGCTTTTACTGCATCGTGTTTTTTCTCATTATCTGCAGAATGTACTGAATCATAGTAATTTAGCTGTGATTCAAATATACAATTGGATTTACACCAGAATTTAGTCAGTGGTTTATGTAGATCCAGTTAAGATATCCTGAGAGTTTTGTTAAAATCTATCTAGTGGATCATGAGACATTTTGCTTGCAAAAATATATGCAGACACAGGTAAAACCAATCCTGCACATACCTTCTCACTGGCAGGCTTTAAATATTCTTTAAAGGAATAATGATATCCTGAGACCCCAAAGGAGAGATTGGGTTGAAAATAATCATGGTATGTAATTTGCAGCCAGATATTGTAGATATTCTGACGATGGCATTTAGGTTACATGTCATTTGTACATGTGAGGCAGCATTTTCAACGTGTGTTGGCAGTGTGAACTACAGAGCTCAGACTAATTAAAACATTCCCAAAGGTAACATGATTGTTTTCCTGACATCCTGACAGGCTACTTTTCAAAAAACTCCCTATTAATCAAAACGTGTTCAAATGTTGCCTCAGGAAAAGAGCCTTGCTGCAAAAGAGGGAAACAAATTTAGAAGATACATCAAAATACGTGCTCAAAAATCAAAGCAACATTAAGAATGAGTTTTATCTCAACTTTGACACACCTGACAACTCTGAGGGCTTTTCTTCAGACGTAACACACCTCTTCAATGTTTCAGAGCTTTCTGAGTGTTTTTTTCAGTTGGAGTAGTGCTTCCTATTGTGTCTACATACACATGAATATCATATTAGTTAGGTAACAGAGAAAATACACATGAAACTTTTATACAATTCAGCAATAAGTTATGAGTATTGCTGGGGCACTTCCCACATACATAAAAGAAAGTAAAAATGAATTCACAGCCACAGCTGGAGTGTATTTTCTCTCAAAAGTGGACATTTTTAGCAAGTCTGCTTGCTGAAAGACTTCCTACAGCCTGCTCTAACTTCGGGCTGACGAAGTTTGCAGCCGCAAATGAAATGTTGCAGGTAAATAAAACCTTTCTGTGTTTTAAAAAGAACTAAAAGATGGAATTAGAATTTCAACAAAGCTTGAACACACCAAAGAAGCATCTCACTGTTCTGGTGGGTATGATGTTGTCCACACAGAAGTTTATATAGTCAGTGACACATCCAGTCATGGCATTGATGTCCTCTTCATATCCTTAGCAGAGAGTCATCGAATCTGTGGTCTCAAAACAACCCTGCAGGGCATCTTCAGCATCCTGTGACCATTTTCTCACAGTTCTTCTTGTCACAGGTTGCCTCTGAACAAGTGGTTTGTATTCTGAGCAGAGAAAAACAAGATTGTGATCTGATTGTCCCAGAGGAGGTCTTGTTTTGGACATGTATGCATTCTTTACATTTGCATAACACAAATCCAATGTCTTGTTTTCACTGGTGGAGCAGCTGACAAAATGTTGAAATGTGGGAAGTGTAGCAGAGAGCGAGGCATGGTCAAAATCACCAGATATAGCCACAAATGCATTGGGGTGCTGGGTTTGCAGCTTAGCCACCATGGAACTGATGGCATTGCGTGCATTTTCAGCAATGGCTGAAGGTGGAATATAAACGGTTGCCAAGACAACACTCCCATAGCTGTCTCCAGCAAAACATGAATTTGTTGCAGTTGTGATGACAAACTCCTCATGCTAGATTAGCATTTGTTGTTATGTCTTCAGAGCATTGCTCCCGAGCGGCTTGCTAATGAATACTGCTGAAATCGTAGCCCTCCCAGGCAACACACACACATTCTCACCTAGCATTTGTTGTGAGGACCGTCATTGCCTTCCATCCATTTTAGTGACGGTACTCCACCTAACCATACATCTAACCTTGACTAAAAACTAATTCACACTATACCTCTAAAACTAACCTGTAGAGCTCTGTAACATTGTACCAATGTGAGGACCAGCAAAATGTCCTCACTTTTCTACTAATGTCCTCACTTTGATTCATAGACAAGTAAACACACACACAGATCTGTGTTTTAATAAAATAGCTCTGCACAGAAACACACCAACTCCGTTGTGGCTTTGATGTTATTGAGTCTGTGTGAGAAATGAAAAGGAGGCCCCCTTCCTCTGACAGGACAGAGAAAGATTCTTCCTTGAGGGAAACGTTTAAAATCGGTTTATGATTATGATTTATGTCACCTGATGTCTGCGCAGGTGGATCTGCAAGGCGGCCTTCGTTACCGCTGCCAGGTGAAGGCCCTGGGGATTCCTCGGTGTGCCCGTACTGCGTTTACTACAACCAGCTCAGCAGCAATGAAAACGCTGAAGAAGATCAGCAACGTGGTCATAGCAACACATGCAACAGCCCGTGTCACAGCGATGGCCGCTGCAACAGCCCCTGTCACGTTGATTCACAGGGCTCGAAGGCAACGAAAGGACTCTGGGAATATTGTTGGGGGAGACTCCAAAAGAAACTGGAACTTATTGTTGGGAGCAGATACTTCAGCAGAGGAATCATGATCGCCATCCTTATTAATACGCTGTCGATGGGGATAGAATACCACGAGCAGGTAGGTTTTAGGTGTGTGTGCGTGTGTATGCGCTGACTTCAGTGTGATTGACGTGCTAATCACCAAGTGTGTGAGAGTCAACAAACGTACCCTCCAATTAACACTTTCAGCATTAAGCATATGGGATCATGAGATGTGTATGTGTGTTTGTGTAAGTGTGAGGCTGTGCGTGGGTGTGTGCAGGCATGTTTCAGGAGGGGGGGGGGGGGGGGGGGAACTCATAAGACCTCAAGTGTTAATTAAAACGTGACCCTGGGACAGGAGAGAGATTGAGCCCTGTGGAAGTGAAGCTGAGTTGGAGGCGCAGGCAGGAGTGAAGGCAGAAATGAGGTGGAGGAGGACAGATCTGACACTGTGATTGGCTGAAAGGCAGCAGCAGATTGTGGCGAAACGGAGGGATGATTTTATTTGGCTCATCCACTAAACAGTGTGACATACCTGATAGCAAGAACATTGTGAATGACTAATATTTAAGGATAACAGCTGCCATATTTTATCCTATTTCTGTGTCAACTGACTCCATAAAGACTGTAAAAGCCTGATTTTAAAGAGCTCAATTAAAAAAAGAAGCTTATTCCACAAATTTGAATTTAATTTTGTGGGAGTTTATTATTTCATTCAACACCTCAAAAACTTTTTAATCCCTTAAGATTAGCTGAGTCAGGCTGATGTCACTGAGCATTCTGTATGTGCATGTTTACACTGCTTTGGTTTGATGAGCTGAGAGAAGTAATCCACCCTGTCTCCGTTCACAGAAGTAATGAACAAATGTCACCTCTGGTTGTGACAAATGATTTCCTTACTGATGGTGGTGGTCGGAGGGACCGGTGGCCAGTGCTCGGCAGCCTCGCCTCTCTCAGTGCTCCCCAGGGCAGCTGTGGCTACATCGTAGCTCATCACCACCAGTGTGTGAATGTGTGTGTGAATGGGTGAATGACTGATTGTGTTGTAAAGCGCCTTGGGGGGGTGGGTTCCAGGACTCTAGAAGGTGCCATATCAAATACAGCCCATCTACCATTTATGTTTGAAATCTCCTTTCCAGCAGCTATGTGACACAGCTAAAACAAATAAACTGTGGATGTCATTTAACGGTGTTGGTGGACCCAAGATGCAGCACCCAGGATGACACGAGGCAGGGATGATGATTAAGTAAAAATCCTTTATTTTAGGGTGAGCCAAAAACCAAGTATATCCAAGCTGGAAGCCAAAAATCCAAAATCCAAAAACCAGATAAATATCTGGGGATCAAAAACTCTGGAATAAACACAGAGGGTCGAAACTGACAGAACTACAAACAACAATGGACCGACACAAGACAGAGACAAGACAGGGCTTAAATTGACTGGGAGGGGCAATCAGGAAAACAGGCAGCAGGTGTGCGGAGTGAACTGATGGAGGGAAGGCAGGTGATGATAATAATCTAAATGGGGAAACAGAACAGAGAAGGGCAGATAAACCTAAAATACAAAATTTAAACCTAGAAACTGAGGGAAGGACTCTCACACACACACACACACACACACACAAATGCACTAATATAAACAGGACAAGCACACACTCACACACACACACACACACACACACACACACACACACACACACACACACACACACACACACACACACACACACACACACTGACACCTATAAACAGAACTGGGAAATGACCAAGCACACACACAGAGCAGGGGACTGAGAGGCTGGGGGCTACAAGGACACAGAAAATGGAGACCTGGAGGGGCTGGGGAGAAATGAGATGACACGGGACCTGGGAGGAATAATTGTACCTGTTACCACGTAAGACACAAGACTGAGACGAAGACAAGGACACATGAGGGCGCTATGAGACACCAAAGGGAATCTAGCGAGGGATGGAGGACACCAGGAGGCACAAAAAGGAGGGGGCAGACGCAGACCATGACAGTGGAATATTCATATTTTAACAGCACTTTTAAAGGAATTGTTATGTGATTTTGAAGTGTTTCTGTCTGAAAGTTATAAATAACCAATATCTTACTCACATAAACTTCTTGAGTGGACTGACAAGCTAATGGCTAGTCTGACTCAACCAACAAAGATGCCTTAAAGGTCTTATTGACTGAGAAACGATGCAATGCTTGTTATTTTTTAAATACGGTCACTCTGATTTGCATATGCATGCTGTACCCAGAAATTTTCTTCAATCTCCTTCGTCTGCTTTACCCACCAAAAATAAATAGACAGAGAAACAATGAAGTCAGGAAAAGCCTGTCTCTTCTATGTCACACAGTAAATTAGCCTTCATGGACTCACCCATCTTGGCCTGTGATGGGTAAGGCTGTGCTGATTTCAATGCTGTGAGGAAACAGCAATGTGCCTCTTGCCAGTAGAAGCTAATCATTAGCATTAGCACCTCCACAACATGGCGGAACTCCTTGAGGCTTGAGCTTTTTATGGAGATAAAACATCAGTGTTGCAAAGCCAACAAAGTCACTGGACGAGCAGCACTGCTGTTGGCCATTCAGAGGCCATATGTCAGAATATCATGAATAATAATGTGTAAGAGTCCAAATCCTGCCGTTTTCTGCCCCCACACCTCTGTCTAACATCTATTTCCTGAAACAGAAGCACCAGAGTGAATGAGAGCTTTAAATCTCTTACATTTCACAATAAAGGACCTTTATCATGTTATTTTACGCTTTCCAGAGCAACAATAGACACAATATATGATACAATATTATCGTTGGCACAATTGAAATGTAATTTTTACAAATATAAGTTAGTTCTGAGACCCATTGCTTCAACCTGAAAAAAGATGGTTGCTGTTGTTACCTGCATGAGTTGTGTTTGCTTCCTTATCTGCATTTTATGTTTCATTTCAAATCTCTCAGCATCTGGGGTCCACCACTGGCACACTCTGACATTGGTTTGCTGTCGATTTTTGCATTTCACGGTTATTTTGACAGAAATATTGAGGGTTTCCTACCAGACGTGACCCCTGGATGCAGCAGCAGGTGCATTTTGCTGCTGATGCTGGTATTTACTCCAGTAATGTGAAAATGATGGTGGTGTAAAGATACAAGAAATAACATTTGCATTAATCGTTGTAAAATTTTAGAGATCGGAGCTACTTTTAGACGACAGCTGTATTGGCTGTTCTCTGCTGTGTTAAGCCATGGCTTTTCAATTCTGAAGGGCATAAACTCCATTTCTCTGAAAAGATGCAATTCATGAATCTTTATAAACCAGTAAGAAACCAATAATTTTTAACTGTTATGGCTGAAATTGGCCTATGCAAACTGTAATGAATGTCAACAAATACCAAAATGATGATTAAAACATTAATAATCCCAAAAAATTAAAAATCCAAAAAATGTACCATTAGAAATGTGTGAATTATCAAATAACTCATCATGTTAGACTGATGTCCACACATTTACAGTAAAAATGATAGAACATTAAGTTTCAGAGTATCTTATGTGATACTTAAATGTTTAAAACCCTGCAGATATGTATGAGTATATTTGGATCTTTTTCGGGTTCCACCTGTGTGTAAGTTAAGGGTTTCTAGCGGAGCTCGTCACCCTTTCAGGGGAGTCGGGCCCCCTTAGCTCCCTCATAATTTGAATCCTGCGTATTCCTATGTTTTGATGCAAATGATTCAAGACAGCAATCCAGTTCCATATCATAACTCTACCACTGCTGTGCTTTAACAGTTGTTTAAGGTTTTTCTCCATAAAAATGCAATTGATCCGCATTGTTTAATTCTGCTTGTAATGAGATAAACAAGATATGCTGATCAGACATATCATTCCTCTTTTAATAGCTGCACTTTGACTCCCAAAACTGCTCTCAAATAGTTTTTACGCATTAAATGATCTTCTGAAAATGCATAGGCAGGCAGTTGGCTTTGCAGAGCTTTGAAACATGGATAACTTACTTTTCCCTCTGTGGAAAGAGCTTATTTAAATATTACTGGCAGATTGTTGCCACACACAGACTGCACAACGTTTACTGCGCAGTTAATCCCCTGGGAGGTCTTTATAGTTTGACTTGATGGCACATCATGCTTCAGCTGCAAAGAGAACATCAGACGATCAAATTCTCACTTGTTTAGATACCTAAATCCAGCAACATCAGAGATGTGATTCATTCTTATTTACTGATGCCTAACAAAATGGGTTAAACCGTTTCAAAGCTAACCTTTTTATCAATTGTCTTAAGTTGTCTTCACAAATTTCTACTTATTTTATAAAAATGCTTCAAGGCTTCAGCAATGATTAAGTTTTACAATTAAAGGGGATATGTTATGCAAAACTCACCCTTTGCATCCTTTTGTCCTGCCATGTGGGTCTCTTCTGCCTCTATAAACAGGGACACAAATAAGCAATAAAAAAACATCCATCTATATTTTGATGGTGAATGATTTCAGGAATTATGAGCCTAAAACAATCTGTTTCACAAAGTACTCCTTTGTGATGTCACAAATGGGGACATTTGATTAGAACCCGCTCTCATGCAAGAGAGAGCTGCTGCTGGAGGAGCAGCAGCTCTACTCTGAGATTGCGCCGCACCGCTAAAGATAGGACTGGATTCTATTTCGGCCGCGACCTGCTTTTGGGACACGTCAATTTCCACACGTAGAGCTAGACAGGAAATCACAAACGATTTCAGCGTAAAACCTCAGTTTTATTTATTTTTCATAATAAAAGACTATTGCAGCGATGCAATTTCATATCTATGTGGATTACATCAAAACATGTGACCTAACTACTTATTTACTCCTAACATCGTTCAAGAAGTGCAACAATGTGTTTGAATTGATTTAATCCTGGCAGTGGAGAGGAACAACATATATGACAGCAAACGTGATTTCCTTCTTTTTGTTTTAATGGCGGATGGCAAACAAACCGTGACCTTTGAACTCTTGAGGGATTTTGTGATCTTGCAAGTCAAGTGAGGAGCATGGCAGAGGTCTCGGGGGATTTTGTGAGAAGCCATTCCACAACGCTGATGCTTCCAGTGTGAAGTAGGGGTTAGTAACTGTTCAATAAAATTCCAGGAGAAAAGCATTTAGCAATCCCTTACCTGTTAGAAAGTGATCACTGCAAACTCTACCATTGTCTCTTACAGCACCTCCCGTATTTATACTCGAAGATTACTGATCCACTTCTTCCATTTTCTTTCAGTACGTTTATTACTTAAAGCCTGATTTATACTTTTCCGTCTGCGTCGGTGCGGAAACACGCAACATCATTATTCGTCAGTGCAAGGGCTCTTAGACGGGCTCACAGAGGGTGACGAAGACATGCCCAAAATTTTTCAGGTTGTGTCAGAATTGCAACCAAAAACTCAAGGATTGCAAAGGAGAAAGCCAGGAAGTCCAACTGCTAATCTGGTAGTGAGAAAAAAAACTCTGAGCAATGAGAATGAAACAAAGGAAAATGAAAACAAAAATACATAGAGTCAAACATAAAAAATACAAAGATTTTTATTACTCATTTTAATAAGTTGATTCAGAAAGTAAGTTTAACTTTTGAAACAATTGTTTTTTTGCAATATATTTTTTTTCTCACATTCTTAATTTTTGTTCGATCTTCTAAGGGTTTTTCTTGAAACTATTGGCACAAATCTAATCCCATAAACATCACACATCAGTTGTACTCAAAAAAGGTATCTGGGTGACCACACTGCATCAGATTTTATAGAACGCATGAATACATCAACATGTCTGACAACCAGCTGTGCTGATTCACTTTTAAATCACTTCAACTGCAAAACTCTTGATGTTCTTGACACCATTGCACGTCAAACGTATCTCCAGCAAACAAAAAGCTCCATGGAGGTTCACTAAATCAGTTACAGATCAGAAAAGAAAGTGCAGGAAAGCTGAGCGTCAATTCAGAAAAAAGTAACCTACCAGATCACTATGAAACCTTCAAAATGCAGCTGCGCACTTACAACTCTTAATTAAATAAGGCAAGACAAGCCTTTTTCTCCAAAGTCATTAGTAATAATATAAAAAATTTCCATGTAATGTTTGCTACTATTGCGAGGGTAACCTCCCAAAGAGTTAAACCCTGATTTCATTTCCCAAACTACACTGAATAAAAGTGTAAATGCAACACTTGTTTTTGCTCCCATTTTTCATGAGCTGAACTCAATCTGACACTTTTTCTACATGCACAAAACGGCCATAAATTGTTCTGAAATATTTATACGTGTGTTAGTGAGCACTTTTCCTTTACCAACATAAATCATACCACCTCACAGATGTGGCATATAAAGGGGCTGTTTAGACAGCATGAATAATGTACAGGTGTGCCTTAAACTGCCCACAATAAAAGGCCACCCTAACATGTGCACTGTTTAGATTTATGGGGGGTGGGGGTCAGTATCTGGTGTGGCCCCTATTTGCCTCATTCAGAGCAACACATCTCCATTGCATAAAGTTAATCAGGTTGTTGATTGTGGCCAGTGGAATGTTGGTCCCCTCCTCTTCAACAGCTGTGCAAAGTTGCTGAATATTGGCAGGAACTAGAACACGCTGTCGTATTCGCCGATTCAGAGCATCCCAAAAATGCTCAATGGTTGACGTGTCTGCTGAGTATGCTGGCCATGCAAGAACTAGGATGTTTTCAGCTTCCAGGAATTGTATACAGATCCTTGCAAAATGGGGCCGTGCGTTATCATGCTGAAACATGAGGTGATGATCGTGGATGAATGGCACAATAATCTCATCCCAGTACCTCTGTGCATTTAAAATGCCATCAAAATGCACCTGTGTCCATAACATACGCCTGCCCATACCAGTACCCCACCGCCACCATTGGCCACTCATTCCACAACACCTACATCAGCAAACTGCTCACCCACTTTACGCCACATATGCAGTCTGCCATCTTCCCTAAACAGTGAAAGCCAGGACTCACCTGTGAACAGAATGCCTCGCCAATGTGCCAAACGCCATCGAATGTGAGTGTTTGTCCACTCAAGTTGGTTACGACGATGGGCTGCAGACAGGTCCAGACTCTGATGAGGATGACGAGCAGTTTCTGACAGTTTGTGCAGAAATTCTCTGGTTATGTAAACCGATTGTTGCTGCAGCTGTCCAGGTGGCTGGTCTCAGGTGATCTCGGAGGTGAACATGCTGGTTGTGAAGGTCCTGGGTTGGTGTGGTCACACGTGGTCTGAGGTTGTGAGGCTGGTTGGATGTACTGCCAAATTCTCTGAAACACCTTTGGAGACAGCTTATGGTAGAGAAATGAACATTTTTTTCACGGGCTACCAGACATTGGTAGACATTCCTCAGTCAGCATGCCAATTGCACGCTCCCTCAAAGGTTGCAACATCTGTGGCATTGTGCTGTTTGATCAAACTGCACATGTCAGCGTGACCTTTTCTTGTGGGCAGCATAAGGCACACCTGTACATTATTCATGCTGTCTAATCAGCCTATTGATATGCCACAAGTTAGAAATCTTGCTCCAGCTTGCTTTTCTAAAGTGACAGAGGCCTAAAATGGTTCATTCTGAAAGGTACTGAAAATGTCAAAAATGTCATGTTTCGGTGTTGGTAGGACTCAAAATGCAGATACCCAGGATGACACGAGGCAGGAGTTAAATATAAAGAAAAATCCTTTTATTTGTAGGATAAAACAAAAATAAGTCCAAGAGGCAGGAAGCCAAAAGCCAAAAACTCCAGATAATGATCTGGATATCAAAAAACACTAAAGACTCAAGAATACCAAAAACACTAGAAATTACAAAAGCTAGACGAGACTGACAGAATAACATCACAATGGACTGACAAGACAGGGCTTAAATACACAGGGAGGATGAGAGGGAGATGAGCTGCAGGTGTGTGGGGTGTGGGAAGAGGACCAGGTGAAGGCAATGACTAATCAGGGGAGAAACTAACTTGACCTAAGAATAAAACCTAATACAAAAGAGCAGGAAACATAACTACAATTCAAAGGGAGGGGGGAGAAAAATAATAAACACTGATGGGAAAAAACATACTAAATCATGAAAGGCTGTAACTAAAGGAAATGACTTGAGAACCCTAGAGGGCTGGAGATCTAGGGGCAAATGGGGAAAACCAGAAGACACATGAGGAAGGCGCAGAAATGAAGACACATGAGGAAGACGCAGACATGACACATGAGGGTGCTAGGACACAAAAGGAACACCTAGAGAGGATGGAGAAACACCAGGAGGCACATGAAGGAAGGGGCAGACGCAGACCATGACAAAAAAATTGCTGAAATTGCTTCATGTGAGAGGGATTCAGTGCCAAGAACTTCACAAACATGTTTTCATTGTAACTTAAGACAAAAAGGTATAATGTGTCCGTCGTTACATAATAGTTACATAATAGTTAATATTTTAATTGTCTCTGAAATGACAAAATTGCCCTATGCGTTCTGTTTTAGTACATGTGCAGTCTGAGTACATTTTATTTGGTTAAATTGGTGACTTCTTTCCTCTCTAATCTGTTCCTTTTGCGTTGTCTCAGTGCAGCTCATATTTGGAGAGTTTCTGCTGAAAGTAATACAATAAATACCAATAAAAATGCATTACACCACCACATTTCATCCACTTTTGAAATACAGTGATGAAATTCTGTTGTATATTAGCCCACATGGGCTCTGAAATCTTAATTAGAACTTCATGTTCAGACTGCTTCCTTGCCTCCTAACTGTCCATTTGTGTTTATTTGCTCATTTGTCTCACAGCCTGTCTCCCTCTGTTCATCAACCCTTCTTTTTTCTCTCCTCAAACATTGACCCTCTCCAGCCGGATGAGCTGACAGACATTTTGGAAATCAGTAACATGGTCTTCACCAGTCTCTTCAGCCTCGAAATGCTCCTCAAGCTCCTGGCTCTTGGGCTTTTTGGCTACATCAAGAACCCTTACAATGGCTTTGACAGCATCATTGTCATAATCAGGTGGGCGAAAACGTTTGTCCTTATGTTTAGCACTGAAATGGTAATGGTGTGATTAAATCCCCATCTTGTTATTGGAGAATCCCTTTGAACCCCGCAGTGCAACTCTGCAGCTGCTGTCACTGTGACACTGATTGAAGTTGCTTGGCCAAATGGTTGCACTCAGAGTCCAGGGGGCCTCAGTGTTCACTCTTTTATGTAGTACCGCAAGCTGAATTATGCATCCGTGTTTGAAGCTTGTTTACCATGTTCACTCACACTGCTCTTGCTTTAATTGTTGGCTGGTGGACTGGAAACAGAGATGGCTCATTCTGTGTTTTCAGTTGCCACATATCAGATGAAAAGTTATTAATCCAGCTTCTTTCCTCAAAGTGAGATTGATGTCCTGTTTGGTGAACAGTTTTGAAGGAAACTTTCAGCTGAGGATTTTTGTGTGACCTGGGTGTGTTTCAGTGTTTGGGAGATCGTAGGTGAGGCTGAGGGAGGCCTGTCGGTGCTGAGAACCTTCCGTCTGCTGAGGGTTCTGAAGCTGGTTCGGTTCCTTCCTGCTTTAAGGAGGCAGCTGGTGGTGCTGATGAAGACCATGGACAATGTGGCAACGTTCTGCATGCTGCTGATGCTCTTCATATTTATTTTCAGGTATACAGATTTTTTGTGTGCATTCAGCTCAAAATAACTGATGCACATTAACCCTTAAAGCCAGTATCCTACTAGGCTGAGACTACCGCCGTTTCTCACTTTCCATGCTTTACTCATGTTTTATGTCATTGGAGTTTTTAACACGTTCCTAAAACCTATTCATACTCGTCACACGGATATGGAACTGATCTTGAGTTTTATCTGTTTAGTTTTCACGAGCCAGAAAGTGTGAGAAATGGGAGACAGCTGTGGGAGGTGTTGACCCACCCCACCACGCAAGTGATATTTGAGCGCTTGTATGTTGATAAAAACTAATCAACAGAAACGAAATTCTTACTTTTACACGCAAACAGTTACTCGTTACTCATAGTGCTCAAGTAACATTTTCTCAAAGGACTTTTTATTACTCTTAGGTTATTAGTTACGCCACTACTTTCACACACCACCCACCTCTGTTCAAAAGCCTTTTTCATCCACGTTTGGATGCTGATTGACCAAAACGTTCAGCTGGGCTCCCTTTACACAACTGACTGCTGGACAAAGCCACATCTGAGAGCATTGCTATTATCAGCTCATCACTTTAGGATGTAGGACCGGTCCCTTGGCAAAACATACGAGACAAATAAGTGTGCTACCCTTGATCTGCTCCACACTGTGAAAATCCACTCTTCTATATACTGCCACCAGGGGCAGATTTAGGATTGAAGAAGATCCGGGGCTTAGCACACGCACGCGCGCGCACACACACACACACACACACACACACACACACACACACACACTAGTCAACATCATATATATTTGTCTTGTACCACATAATTTTTAATCTGAAGCTACATATTAAGCATATTCAGGGCAGAGTATTGTTCCTGTTAGTGTTTAGTGTGAGATGATAGTAAATATTCCCTTTCTTTCTCCATCAACATTACCTGATAAGCTAACTTTAGGCAAACCAGCAGCAACACAAATATTTTCAAATAAGACTCACAAACCTGAGTCAACACCAGTCTCATCAAAGCTGGGGTTCTGTCGTTGTACTTTTGGTCTAAAAAACGTCCTTATGTCCATCTTCACTCATGCGTTTCAGGCAGAGAGTGTAGAAGAAGCCGGCTGCTGAAGGGCTTCTTCTTCAGTGGTGGAGGCTCAGGCAGGCTGTATACAAACTACTGCCAGCTGCTTCCTCTCTGTTGGACTTTGGTACTGCATGTTACTTCCACGTTTGAGATCCGGGGCTTTTCATAAAACATCCGGGCTTGGGCCCAAGTAGCCGGGCCTAAAGCCGCCCCTGGCTGCCACGTTTTGCTTCATCTGTCTTTAGCTTGACCTGTTCCCTTTCCAGCAAAAATGTCCCCTTCGATATCCGATGTGGGTATCTAGAGTCCGATTTGCACAGCTCTCAACAGCGGTGCTTAATTCCTTCCCGTTTGACAAAACTACAACTTTGTGACAAGAAGAGTAAGTCAGACCCTTAGGCACTCATGCAAAATGCTTGCTTGTCTAGGGCTACCTCTGTAATTTAATTTCAATGTCACATCACAACCTTTTTGTAGCTATTGTAAAGTAAGCTATTTCATAGAAAATAAAACATTTGGGAGTCAATTGTGACAAAAAGATTGAAACAGTTGAAAATCTTCAGTTCTGTGTGCTTTCAACTGCAAATTTGTGTTGTCTTACAATTTTGCATCTATAACAGTGCAGCCTGGTGAGATAACTTCTTTAAAATACACAGCAGTGTATTTCACATGAAATAAACTTACTCAGATAAGCATCGTTGCTGTAGGAGTAATGCATAATTTAGAGATTAAAATACATTTTTGGGGTGTTATCTTAGTGTGTGTGTGTGTGTGTGTGTGTGTGTGTGTGTGTGTGTGTGTGTGTGTGTGTGTGTGTGTGTGTGTGTGTGTGTGTGTGTGTACTTTGCAGCATTCTGGGGATGCATCTGTTTGGCTGTAAGTTTGGTTTGCGACAAGACAGCGGAGATACCTTACCCGACAGAAAAAACTTTGATTCTCTGCTGTGGGCAACTGTCACTGTCTTTCAGGTGAGTAAAACAAACACATGCATACAGCACAGACATGCTCCTATTTGATTGAAATAATTTGTCACACAGATAAACTGTGGAAATGGAAAGTTGTTAGATTATCCTTTTTTTATTTACAAATTGTTTGTTTATTACATTCTAAATGGACAGAAAATGTGTTGAACAAGCAATGATTCATTTTATTTAAGGAGAATGGAGTTGTATGTTGAGAAAACCAATTGGAGACCTGAGAGATATGTTTGTGTCAATTCCACGTCATTCAAAGTGTCCAAAATCTCAGCAGCCTTTTTCTCTTTCAAGTGGAATAAGAGAAATTCCTCAATCAGATCTCCTTCAATCAGCTGCTTCACTGAAACTGTATCACTCCGGTCAGGTCAGGGCCGGCTCAAGCCTTTGTGGGGCCCTAAGCTGGTTTTCCTTTGGGGACCCCATACCAACAAGTTAACACCATTATTCCTGTGTTATCGTGTCTTTTGATTTTAACCTTACAGGAGTGGCAAATCAACTAAATTTTCTAATTAATTAGCATTTTAAAATGTGTAGTGCAGGGGTGCACACACATTTTGAGCTTGCCAGCTACTTCTAAAATGACCAAGTCAAAATGATCTACCCTACTACAAAACATTTTTACATAGCCACTCATTTGACCTTTCTGAAGAGAACAGAGCACTAAAAATGGAATATTACTTGCTGTCTAGCTTGTTAGTTTTGCTGCTGTTGTGTGCCGTTTTGCCCATGCGCAGTGATCTATGACCGGAAGAAAAAGATATTATGTTTGACATCTCATGTAATGTTGTTCCTCTCCACTGCCAGGTTAAATCAATGAAAAACTCACCACTGCTCATCTCAAACCATGCTTGGAGTAAATAACTCGTGAGGTCACACGTATAGACGTAATCTATATATATAACACCGGGGACACACCGACCGCGGAAGCGCCACGAAAATGGGACCGCCTTCATTCGGCGCCCTTGTTAAGCTATTCTATAGACCACATGGGCCGCCTCGCGCCGGCGCTCCAGCCCGTACCGTGCAGCGATCGTTTCGGCGTCTGCTCTATTTATTTCGCGAGCCGCGGGTGAATCGCATCAATTCTGGCAGGAAGTCAAACCTAGACATAAGAGGCAGGCCGGTAACGTTAACAAAATAAAGCATTTCAAAATAAAATTCTGCAATAGTCAAATGTGTTCGTTATCAGACACTGCAGAAAAACCACACGAACACACACACGTCGAACTTGTGTGCGTGTGTGAGCACGTGAAGGGGGTGTGGTTTTGGGTGTCTTTTTTCCGGAGCAAACAGGACAGAGAGGCAGAAAGTCTGAGGCAAGCATTTAAGATGGATGACTTTAAATTAATTATGGAAGTTGAGAAACACAAGAAGCTGTACGACCCCCGAAAAACATGGTTATTTACGTACCCATTTCAGAAGAAACTGCTAGGATACAGCTGCAGAATTGGAGCGGGTTCCAAGAGATTCAACTGGTAGAAACAACTCATACCATAGGTTCACACACACACACACACACACACACACACACACACACACACACACACACACACACACACACACACACACACACACACACACACTCAAACGTAGAGGAAAAGAAAAGGCAGAGAGGAAATGGAGGACACCAAGTGGTTAAAAGAAAAACTACAGCTGAGCCGAGGGGTGGCTCGACTGGAGCGCGTCTGATCTGAACTGAGGAGCGGCAAGCAGCGGCCGAATTTCGTGAGCGATTCGCTTCTCGGCGCTTCCGCGGCCGGTGTGTCCCCGGCGTAAGAAGTCGGATCTTTGAAATAGACTTTTATTTTGAAGTGCTGAAAGTGTGTGTGTGATTTCCTATCTAGCCCTATGTCATTTAGGGACATTGACGTGGATAGCGGTAAAAATAGACCCAATCCTGTTTGACGGCGCGGCCGGTTTAGATCACTTTTATAGACAATATTGGATTCTTTTTGAAGCGGTGATGTAAACACTGACTGGCTGCCATATATATTAAATAAGTTACAGGATGGCTGATATGCTGACATAATTTTTCATGAGATCTACCCACGCTACCTTTGCGATCGACTGGTAGATCGCGATCGGCGCAATGAGCACCCCAGGTGTAGTGTCATTTAAAGATCAAGTTCATTATTTTTTCACGACGGTGGTCTCTATTGTAAATGAAATCCTTTTCTGAGGAGAAACAGCTCTGGTGGTTCTGTTTCAGGAGGTAAAAGTTAGCCAGAGGATTTGGAAAGAAAACGGCTGGTTTTAGAATCGTATTTCCTGATATTCAGACATCTCGCTTCTGGTTGGCTAACAGCAAGGTGACTCTACCACTGACTCTTCTTTGCAACATTGATGTTTTATCTCCACAAGTAACACAAGCTTGAAGGAGTTCTGCCTTGTTGTGGAGTTGCTAATGCTAAGGGTTAGTTTTTTCAGTCGAGACATGCTGGGTGAGTCCATTAATGCTAATTTTCTGTGAGATGTAGATCTGACTGGGTGTTGTAATTTAAGTGTTTCCCTGTCTGTTTTCTATTCAATTCAATTCAATTCAGGTTTATTTATATAACGCCAAATCACGACAAGAGTCGTCTCAAGGCACTTCACTTAATAAACATTCCAATTCAGGTCAGTTCATTAAGCCAGTCAGAAATAATGTTTCCTATATAAGGAACCCAGCTAATTGCATCAAGTCACTGACACACATTTCTATCAGATGTTAATGCAGAAATTTTAAATGACTTCAGTCCAGTTTATTATCAAGTGCCAGTTCACAACAAGAATTGCCTCAAGGTCCTAAAGTAAACATTCCGATCGAAGCTTATCAGTGCACTGAATAAGAGAACCTTGCAAGTTGCATCAAGTCACTGACTTGTTGTGTGAAAGGCTTTACAGCAATCCCCTTATTAAGCAAGCATGGAGCGACAGTGAGGAGGAAAATGCCCCTTTAACAATAAAACCTGGCTCAGAATGAGCAGTCATACTGTTCAGGGGGGTGGGGGTATTTTACTATTTTCATGGTCAGAGCGACCGATCCTTTTTAAAAACAAATCCACAGGTAAATAACGGTTTCTCAGTGAACTTGGCCTTTAAGGCAAGGCAGCTTTATTTATATAGCACATTTGAAACACAGGGCAATTCAATGTGCTTAACAATTAGCATGAAATGGCACGACAACAAAAAGGAGAACACAAATTAAACACATACGCAGATAAAATGATAATTTAGAGTTAAAAGGAAAATACAGAATTAAGATGAGCGGTGACATCACAGATTAGAGGGGAGAAAATGCAGCATAAGAAACAATTCATCCAAAGGCTGATGAGTACATGAGGGTTTTAAGTTTTGATTTAAACTACACTAGAATTGGGGCAGATCTTAGGTCTGGGGGAGCTGATTCCATATGTGAGCAGCAGAGTAGCTAAAAGCATGGTTGGTTCTGACACAAGGTTCTGTCATGGTGACCAGTTTTGATGTGTGATCCCCAATAGAGACAACATAGCCCCGGTCGTCCAGATATGATTGGGACCAGGCAAGGACTGTTCCGGATTTAAGTGGTTTTAAAAAAAATTAACATCAGTAGACAAACACAGAATTTACAGTAAGCTAGTTGAGTTTACTTTCTTTTATTCTTAACATTTGGAACAGATGTGTATGTGCAAAACACACCACCCCTTATGCAAATTATTATTATTTCTATATTAATCATTTTTCCATGTGGGAAATCATTTATTTTGTATTATTTAAAGTTATTTATTTAAAGTTATTAAAACATATATTTTATTCTCATGCTACCTTGGTGCTCTTGGTGGCCCCCTGTTGGTGGGGGGCCTTCAGGAGACACTTAACTCGTGTCTGGGTCAGGTGCACAACCAACAAGTCATTGATCACTCTGAACAAAATTCAGAGCTCCTTCGTAGACACAGGGGAGTTTTCCTGAATGACCTCTGCTGATGCAGCACTCCATCATTCGAGGCTTTATTGTAGCAAGGCTAAACAGAAACCTCTCTTCACTGGAAGGTCGATGACAACCGGAGGTGAAAAAGCACCTGAGTGACTCTCAGATAATGGAAGCAAAAACCTCTGATCTGATGAAAGGATGAACTATGTGACCACAGTGACGGGAGACATGAACAAAACCAGAAAATGACCAGCACTTCATATGTACGTCTCCTGGAGTAAAACATGGACAGTTTTCTTTTCTTCTAATAGGAGAATTCAGGGTTGAAGGACAGATGGGTTAAAAAAAACACTGAACATTCCTCAGTGAAAAATAGTTCCTAAAAAACTCTGGAGCTGACTCAGAGATGAAGGCTTGCATTTTGACATGATAAAAAAAATTAAAGTATGCCGCCAAAAAAACACAAACGTGATGTCCATAAAGCTCCTGCTCCTTTAGCACAACCCTTTCAGCCCCGTTCCTTCTCACATCAGCGGCATCTGTGAACTGACTGAGGCAAGTTGGTGTCGATCCATCACTGTGTCATGGTCTGTGTCTGCGTCTCCCTCATGTGCCTCCATGTGTGCTCCATTTCCCCCTAAGAATCCCCCTTATGTGTCTCTTTGTGTTCCTCATGTGTCCCCTGGTCTTCAGCCCTCCAGATACCTCTCCCAGGTCCTGTGTTCCTTTAGTCTTCCCCAGTCACCCCTCTGCAGTTTTTATAGTTTCAGCTTTTCATTTCATTAGTCTCTTTAATGTTTTTTTCCCACCGGTGTTTGTAGTTTTCCTTCCCCTTAGAATATTAGTTATCTGGTTGCTTTTCTTGTCTTTAGGTTTTACTCTTAGGTCATGTTAGTTTCTTCCCTGATTAGCTAATTGCTTTCACCTGGTTCTCTCTCCGCACACCTGCAGCCCATCTGCCTCCCGTCATGCCCCAGTGTATATAAGCCCTGCCTTTGTCTCAGTGTCTTGTCGGTCCATTGTTTTGTGTCAGCATTGTTTTGTGCTCTATGTGAGCTTTTGTGCCTCATCTCTTGGTTTGTGCTCTATGTGAGCTTTCGTTGTCCTGGAGTTCAGGACTTTGGTTTTTGGCTTCCTGCCCTTTATGGATTTTTTGGTTCCTCATCCTAAATAAAAGAATTTTACTTTTAAACCGCTCCTGCCTCGTGTTATCTGGGGTTTTCTGCATCTTGGGTCCTAACCTCCTCCTAACCTGCAACATGACACACTGTCATGCCTCTGGGCCAAAGATAGTGGTAGTCACAGAGTGAGTAGGTGTGAAGTGGGAGGGGTGGAGCCTGCAGCACTTTGTTCTAACCATGGTGTTGCCATCACTCACTAGTTTCATAATGCTGGCTTTGTGTAAATACAGTGTTGCAGCATGTGGCTTGATCGGTTTATTCTTGTGCAAAGAACCAGAAATGACAAGAGTCAGCCAGAGATTGGATCTGCACCTGGTAGAACCCATCACATGTTCATCCCAGCAGAGCTGAAATGGGAAAATGACAGACATTCCAGTTCTGTTCCTCTGACTCAGTGTTCCTAACAAGACTGTAATTCTCTGAGATTGAACAAGCTTCAAAGTACATTTCTGTTGCTGTAATGTGTAATGGGTCGTTTCTAGAGGTTTAACAGTATGCCTATAATTCAGATTCGGTACAACAAAAAAGGATTTCTTTTGTGAAAACGGTTGCAGCTATCTCAGAGATGTAGAAAATAAAATTCAATAGATACCAGTTCAAGAATTTTCTTTCCAGTATTTTCTTTGGCCTCTGAAACTGAAAGAACAGGCTGAACTATTGAAAGCAGAAACATTTCCCATCATTAGGATCTCAACTTTGTGTATTTCCATAAAAGGATAGGCAGTTTTGCTTGCTTTTAGCGCCCCCTAGTGTCCATTATTAATTCACTGTGGTTATACTGAAAATAAAACTTATTTCCTTGCTTTGAGTTTGTCTTTTGAGCACCTTAATCTAACTGCTGAAATGTCTCCCAACATTTATTATTTTCTAGAGGAACAATTAAACAAATCAGCTGTGTTCAGGATCAATAACACGCAGAACTGTTGGAAGCAGACTCCAGCTCCACCGTATTAGCTCCACTCCACAGTTGCAAGTGCGGTACTCTGGCCACAGGGGTTTGAGTGACATTTCATTAACCCTGTAAAGGGTCATTTTAGAACATATTGGCTCAAGAAAAATATTTAAAAACATGAAAAAGTTGTATATGTCCCTTTAAGTGCAACATTATGAGTTCCAGCTTGTTGCCTTGTTCAGGTTTGTTCAACAGGACAGGCCAAATTTTTCAGCTGTTCACTTCCAGTCTTCCCGATCAGCGAAGGACCCAGTGTCTGGTACCGACTAGGGATGCACCGATGGATCGGCATTTGATCCCAATCGACCGATGGCGCCCCTATCGGTTTTGGTCGGAGTTTTCAAAATAGATCAAAGCAGACCGATCAGCAGACCATTTTAGATTAGGTTACATTTCCTTTATTCCCAGATTATGTAGTTTGTAGCACTCATTATAATGTTGTAGAAAATTTCTGGCCAATCCACGTGATCGGTATCGGTGATCAGCATTCTTTGATATCGGTATCGGTGATCGGCAGAAAAAACCTGATCGTGCATCCCTAGTACCGACACTTGGTAAAAGCCCGTTTCAAAAGAGGCTGCCTCTGAATTTGGACACAGCTGCTTGTTATGCTAGCTAATGGTTAATATGTGCAGCACAGTTACACGTCCATGTGGAACTCGGTACACATCCGTACCAAACCGAACATTCCATACCAAAAAATCTGAATACCCTGTACCTTTACACCTAGTTATTCCATAGGAAAATGATCTGTTTGACAATTTTCTTTATGCTAATTTTGATTCAACAACAAGCTGGATCTTCTTGTCTCCCTTACCATTTTTTTTTCTATAACAGATTTTTTTTAACAAACAGTGGAAGAAACATCAAAGGCGCGTTCTGACTACCAAGGCTGCAAATTTATTTAAACAATATACATTTTGTTGAGCACTTAGGCTTCACAGAGCCTAAGATGGTCTGTTATGGCTTCTTTGCCCAAGAAGAAGTCCAAAGTCCTCTGATGGACAGTTGGGTTCAACCAACGGAGACGAAGAAGACAAGCAGCAATTTTGAATGAGAAGTGACATAATGGAGAAGAGTGGAAGCAGCGATTAGATCAATGAAAGGCAGGAAAAAACAAGACGTGACTGAACCAAAAGTGGAGAGGATAAATGGACCCAAAACACATCAGGCTTTTAAGTCTGCTTGTAAATAATCTCTGAAAAGAATCAAGGCTCCACATGGTGCTTTAACTAAGCCATAAAAGAGTAATTACACAAAAACATATAATGATAAAATCTGTCCTAAACAATGGGTCTCTGACACCAATCCAAATGCTCTGAATCTAATTTAAATTAGTGGAAATTCCAACTTTTGCTATTCCATTTCAACTCAGAATTTATTTACTTTAGTTTATCTTATTTTTTCTATTACGCCACCATTGGGCAGGTAAGGTTGTTTAAAATCAGAGGAGGAGGCGCAGAAGTAAAGCCACCTCTCCACAGGAGCTCACTGTAACAATTATGAGCGTCATTATTGTTCAAATGACAAGAGGAATATAAATATTGGGTTTATAGACCCCCTGCCCAAAATAATTTGCGTTTGGTTGATGACTTTTCCTCATTCCAACTACATCTCTTTACTTCATGTGCAGATCCTCACCCAGGAGGACTGGAACGCGGTGCTTTACAACGGCATGGCCTCCACCACACCCCTGGCTGCCCTCTACTTTGTGGCCCTCATGACGTTTGGAAACTACGTCCTCTTCAACCTGCTTGTGGCCATTTTGGTCGAGGGCTTTCAGGCTGAAGTAAGTGCAAACATGCAGTTTGATCTGAGCTTCTCGGAGAACCCTGCAGAGAAAACGAGTCTAATTGTGCTCTTGTTGTTCTGTTGATACCAATGCTTCTTACGAGAGAGTAATCTCCACCTTCCTGCCTGCGTGGTTTCTTTATCCATCACTCTTTCCTCTCCACCTCCCTCCCTTCCCTGTCTTCCTCTGTCTGTCTTTCTCGCTGACATGCACGCACGCTTATAATACTCTCCAGGGTAGGAAAAGTGTTTGATATCGCTCGCCATTCACAGCTGGTGAGCTTTTGTTGTTTGGTTTCTATCTTTTATCTCCAGCATCAGGGAACACTTGCTCTCCATCACACACACACACGCACGCACGCACACACACACACACACGCACGCACGCACGCACGCACGCACGCACGCACGCACACACACACACACACACACACACACACACACACACACACACACACACACATAGATACCCTTTGCCAAAGCTGTCTGCTTCTATCTTTCTGGCGTGAATTTTAATTAAATTCAGTAAAGCTTTATTGGCGTGTCTACAGGAGATCGCTGCCAAAGCAACACACATAACTCAACCAGCGAACACAGGAGATTCCCTCCACCCGCCTGTCTCCCACTCTTTGTTTCTTAATCATTCCCTCCCTACTTCCTCCCATTTTCCACATTTAAAACGGTCAACAGTGTGTGTTAAAAAGGGGAAGTGATGATGGGCGTAACGACTCTGATGATAGGGGATCATCCTGGGTCTTTATGTTTCAGGGAGATGCCAACAAATCTGAAGCTGATGATGAAAGACAATCGCTCTGCTTCCAGGATGAGGAGAAGCTGAGAGAGCTCTACGCTGCAGGTACAGTGAAAAAACTACATTATGTAATAAAATTAAATGCTACTTTTCCATGTTTTTTTTTTTTGAAAAATTCAATGAAAGATCCACTTTTAAGGCAGTCTGTTGTGTAAGCAAATAACATTTATGATTTTACAGATTTTAGTAAAACCTTACTTTTTTTTGGTGATTACTAGGATTACTATACACAGTTGCCTTCTTTTGTCCTCCCAAATAACTCACCAGGGATTTTTTGGTCACCTAGCAAATTCTTTAAAAGTCCTGAAAATGGGATTTGACTAGGTAGGATTCACTAAACATGCTTATTTTAGGTTTACACATACTACATGTGATATCTGTTTATCATTTTGAAAAAATACAGTTATGATTTTATAAATTTTAGTTGGATCTTATGCCATTTTTTATCTGGTGTGTACAAGGGCCAATAGTTTTTTTGAGTGTACAGGGCGGTTTTAGGCTTTAAATTGTGGAGATTTTTCAACAGCTTCAGTCAGTCGAGTGAAATGTTCTCAGTGTGGTGAGGACACATGAACTGTTCATAACAGTCATGGTTTTACACCATTTGATGCCTTTATTGTAATGGATGGTACTATATTGTACAATAATTTATCATATCTGAAACCACATGGAAATATAATCAATAATAACATAAATTTGTGTTGTTGTCTTGTAAAAATCATTACAAGCAGGGGTCATTTTAGAGAAATGCACATAGAGGTTCTGCAGCTGAACGATATTAATGACACAAGGGCTGTCTGTGTGAGCCATAGACATGAATACATAGACGACCCATTGGTTGCTGTGTGTGACAGCATCCCCACCATATTGGATGGGTCTCCTCACTCCAAAGTTAACACAGAGTGAGCAGCAATGCCTGTTTTTTGTGCAGTCTACAGTTTCAACAACCAGTGTACTATAGAAAACAGACTGTTCGCTTTTTCAGCCAACCTGTTGGGATTTAATTTAGTTTAATTATATCTATACTTTGAATATAATGACATACCATTTGTCTGATTTTGTGAAAAAGATGATAAAATATGTTTTTAGTTGGGTAAGCACCATCGTCAGTAGAAATAAATGCAGTGGGGGTGAATGGAGACCCATCTAGCTCGTCTACATATATGATGTCTGTGGTGTGAGTGATTAGCCTTTCTTTCTCTTTTTCTTCTTCTTCTGACTGAAACTTTAAACAGAGTAACACAAAACTAATTATATCTAAAAGCTAATTAATTCAGGGCATAAATATAATAGCCCATGTTCGCTTATATCCATTTATGACAATTCCATTTAGTTTTATTAACCATTGTGCTAGAGAAATCTCTTAAGCAATTGTTTTTTGATTTCTGGAAATCATCTCAAAACCCTCTTTGTAGTTGTTTGTGAGCCACGGAGTCATGACCCCACTATGGATACCACTGCTCTATGCTCCATGCTGCAGATGTCTATATAGAATACCATTTTGGTAAAAATTGAACATAAAACAAGTCTTTTTTATAACTGTAGTAGTGAAACTGCCAACTTCAGAAGGACAGAATTACATTTTGGTATTTTCTCTGCTGATTTTTAACATTTTCAGATTGATGCTAAAAAAAAACCATTGAAAGAAAACATTGGTTTTAAAGCATTTACCTATAAAATGCAACCACCTGGTCTTCCAAAGCCAGAAACAAATTAAAGGTGACTAAAAGGTGAAACTATAATGGTATGTGCCATCTCATGCAAGTTAAAGAGAAGTAAACGGACACAAAGACCTAAACTGCAGAATATCTATATTTTAAAGCGTAATAAAGAAATTATTCATTTTAAACAAACCCTTCTGTGTGTTTGTTTGCAGAACTCAAGATCCAAGCCATGATGCTCACCCCCAACGGTCTCCTGAACCCAAAAGCCTCCATGCCTGCAGCTCCTCCACTGCTGCCACTCTTCACACACACTGCAGCCACACCCATCATAAACTCCAACCAGTCCCGCCGGGCGAACGGTGCCTCCACGGACATCAGCAGCCTAGAGCAGAGGTCACCGGTGAGCCGCCAACACGTTGTGCGTTTACGTGTGTTATTAGGAAATTAACTAAATGTAATAAAGCTGATTTACAGAAGCAGCAGCAAAGAATCTAATTATGAAAAGGAAATAGCTCCAGCCGAGCTCTGCTGTAAGAATGATTAGAAAAATCAATTTGTGAACGGATTTACAGGAATAACAGACAGTTATTTTATCCTGTTAGATAAAACAGAAAGCAGAAAGTGTGGGATGACTTCGAGAGTTTTCGTTGTTAGAGAAGCTTTAGCTTCCACTAGAACCAACACTTTGTGTTCTCAAACATTAGGAAGTAAACCAAATGCATTTGTGTCATAAAAAAATTGGCAACTTGGAATGTTTGGATACTTGTTATCTCATCACGAGGACCTCCTGTTGGTTACCAGCAGCTGCTGACTGAGTCAGTTAGCTCATCAGGTTTTTAGTGGTATTGTGAAGTGAATATTTTTTCTTCTCATCCGGTTTTCTCACTGTTAAAAATAGTAGTTGTTATTTATTTATTTATTCCAACTTGTCTGCTAACTGAGTGATGAGGTGTCACAAATGCTGGCCTCATCTTGACTCGTTTACAGCAGTCGTCCCCGACCTTTTCCACATCGCAGACTCATTTTGTACAACTTTTCCATGAACCAGAGTAGGGTGGCAGGAGTCATGCACTCAGAATGAAACACATTAACATGCCTAACATTAAAATTTAATTTACACATATAACACACATTTAATTGTTTAGTAATATATTTTCGTTGTAGCACATTGTGATAGAAGTAATTGTGTTTTTATAACACATCGTGTAGACTCATGCACATAAACCCGCGTTTTAGTCGTTCTTTGAAAAAAATATATTATATTTTAATCATTTTTGCTTGGACATTTGTAGTCTTATAGGAATACTATGCAACTTTTTTCTAATTTTTTAATTATTTTCTTCAGCCAATATGTGCTTAAATGACCCTTAACAGGGTTAATGAAAGGCCACCCAGCCCCTATCGCGCCTGTGGTCAGAATAGTCTGCACTGCAGTCTGCTTCCAGCAAGTTTCCTGCATGCTTTAGATCAGGGGTGTCGAACTCAAATTCACACTGGGCCAAAATGAAAAACTGGGATGAAGTCGCGGGCCAAACTCAATATTTTTTTAAAGGTGACGGTAAATGTGCACATTTTCCTTTATCTACAGATATGAACGGTTGAACCTTTTAATTTGGAAACAAACTTATATTTGCAGTAACACTGAATGTGGAATAACCAAATTACACACGAGCAAGTCAATTTTAAATAAAGTACTCATCAGTGGTATTTGTTACTTATGTCTCAATTTAGTTTAAATATTTGTATTCCTTAAAATCTGCATATATTCAGCCTTTCTTCTTTTGAATCTTTTAAGTGTTTCTATTTTATGTTTTCATGTTTATTTTTTATTTTATTCTCCTTTGTTGCTCCTGTAATGTATGTTATTGCTGCTGTGACACCAAGCTTTACCCACTGAGGGACAATAAATGGATTTTCTATTTTATTTCTATTCTATTCTTCTATCTGTAATCTTTCCTGTTTTATAATAGGTGAAATCTTTCACAGGCCAACATAAATAAAAAATAGTAATTCTCTTAAATGAAAATGCAATATCTCACCTATTAACTTTCATGCTTTGGAGCAGAAAATTCAATTCAATTCAATTCAAGTTTATTTATATAGCGCCGAATCACGACAAGAGTCGTCTCAAGGCACTTCACATAATAAACATTCCAATTCAGGTCAGTTCATTAAGCCAATCAGAAAAAATGTTTCCTATATAAGGAACCCAGCAAATTGCATCAAGTCACTGACGAGTGTCAGTGACTATACAGCAATCCTCATACTAAGCAAGCATAAAGCGACAGTGGAGAGGAAAACTCCCTTTTAACAGGAAGAAACCTCCAGAGAATCCTGGCTCAGTATAAGCAGCCATCCTCCACGACTCACTGGGGATAGAGAAGGTTAATAAAACCAAAATAATTCAATCCCAGTTTTTTCCACTCTGATTTCCTGTGATGCTCACCTGTTCCAGCCAGACCTGCATCTGTGGGGTTGGGCGCTGAGCTGAGGAAGGAGTTCATCAGTTAGAAACAGTTGCTCACACAGGTTTGTGCTGCTGGACATGGAGAGCATCTGGACCACGCATTTGTGTCGGGGAGGGGGATAAAAGCTGCAGCAGCCACAGAGTCATACTGACTTGAGCGTGTCGCTAAACTGGAGCTGGAGGAGTGTTTTCAGTTTGTCCGAGGCAGAGGAGGTAACGCTGCAGACGCTAATGCTAGTGTAAGTGGGTGATGGGTTGTGCGCATGTGCCGTTAACCTTGAACTGTCGGACTGGAGGGTGGAGCCACTAGACTCTCTGTGTAGACCTTCATTCGTTCGCAGGCTGCTGTGGTGTTAACAAGTGAAGCTTCCAAATAAACGGAGACGTGTTCCTGTACTCCAAAGGTATTTTTCACCTATCTCTTATTTGTCCTGAGACCATGAGCTCGAACCTCTACAGCTCCTTGTCCTTGGTGGCAGCGGTGTTTGGCGACGTTTACCCCCAGGACTTGGCTAGTGAGAAGGCTATGCAGGACCATGTTCGGAGGCTCTTTTACCGGTGTGGACGAGGACAAGCAGAGCCCAGTTTGGACTGAGGATGTGTGTAACATCAAAGTGGAGCTGCCCGCGCCATTTTGTGGCGACGGTCGTAAACTCTTCGCTACTTGGATTAAACTGTTTGAGGCTGCCGTTCGCGCCCAAACCCGAGGAGCAGGAAGACGGAGCTACACCGCCACTTTGGCTGCTCTTTTGCCCACTAGACTGGACGGGGCCGCTTTCCTTTTGTGGGACAGCCTCCCTGCAGCTACGCAAGGTGACTTTGACCGTGTTAAAGAGAAGTTAAATGAGGCATTTGGACAGAAACAGTTCATCTTGTACTTTCAGACCTGTGTTTCTGCTCGGCCTAGGCTGGCTAATGAGAGTTTGGAGATATATGCGGCTGATATTTCGAGGCTTGTCACGGAGGCTTTTCCTGAGTATGACGCCGGGGCACAAAATGGAGAAAAGTTTAGGCGTTTTCTCGCCGGTCTGGACCCAGGCCTCCGTGCTAAATGTCACGAACAGGGGGCTACTGATCTAGACAAGGCCCTGATTATTGCTGGACTTTGTGAGCGGGCTAGGCTGGCCTTGGTCGGACGGACGCAGACCGTCAACTTCTCCTCAAATGGCCCAGTGACGGTGGCTGCACTTTCTCCTGCTGGGACCGCTGAGAGGGGCCGTGATAATAAGGACACAGAGATTCTCCTTGGTGCTGTGGAGCGTTTAACTGCAAGGATGGACAAATTACAAATGGATGTGACAGATATGAAGGCGCAAAGCCGCGGTGTGGAGGATGACAGACAGGCTTGTCTGTCAGACTATGGAGCATATATGGACCCGCGTCTTCCGTGCTCGTGCGACTGTGGTGGAGATGGCTGCCGATCCGCTACTAGGGCACACCAGCCGGAGTTTCATGGAAGGGGGCGTCTTCCCGAGGAGGACGTTCAGATGGACGCGACGAGGAATGGCTTGCTCCTTCACGGGGATCCAATGGAGGTTCACCAGATGATCCTGCAAACCGCCTGGGAAGCAGGAGCCCCCAGAGACCATGCCCCAGTGAGGGACCACAGTGGAGGAGGAATGTGAGCTTTCTATCCCCTTCTCGGCGTTCACCTTCTCCTTATCCAGCTGAACGGAACCAGAGAAACTACCGATAACTGGTGTTGAGACCCGGACACCAGTTTCTCCCGCTGAGGGTCACAGTGGACGCTCATCAGTTGTGGCTGATGCCGCTTCGACGGACTGCAGACCGATGGGTCAGTCCAAACATACATCCTATGTAAAAGGACTGATTGAGGGGGTGGATGTTGCTGTTCTACTTGACTCTGGTTCAAATGTTTCACTGATTTCGGAAGACTTCAAGACGTCGATCACTGCCTTACGCAAATGTGTACTTGGTGCTGACTACACATTTGCTCATACTGTGAATGGACAATCTTGGACACACTTGGAACAATGACCATTTCAATCTGTTTGAGTGAGGTTTACGTAGAACAGACTGTGCATATTGTCAGGGGGGCTACACAAAAAGTTCTTTTGGGTCTTGATTTCATGCTTGCATATCAGGCTGTCCTAGGTGTGGCCTGGGGGTTTGTTCGCCTCAAAGGGATAGACATTCCTCTGTTACATGCTGTGGACTTTATCCCAAAATGTTGCAATATAACCACATCTACAGATGTCATTGTTCCGCCATACTGTGAAATGGTTGTTCCCGTGCAGGTGGAACCCCCTAGGACCACGGCTCCACACCTTGACCCCTACATTGGGTACCTTGAGCCAGAGGCCCGTGACAGTGTGGAGTTTGTGGTTGCGCATACAGTGGCGCCTGTAAAGGATGGGCTCACTGTTGTGCGGCTGCTTAATCCAACTAAGCATGAACTACACATGCACACTGGGTCACACTTAGGGGTTCTTTACCAGGTTGACAAATGTGATGTTTTTGAACCTGTGGACTGTGTGGACTCCGGTCACCAGCAAATAACCTTACCTGACCTGTCTGACTGCCCCTTGTCTGACACCCATAAAGAACAGCTTCATGCTGTGTTGTATAAACATCAAGAAGTTGTCCGTCCTGGACGTGGTTTTTCCAAAGGTGAGGGCATGATCAAACACAGGATTAATACCAGCAACCACCCCCAGTTAAGCAACGAGCGTATCGTACCTCCCCAGACAAGCGTAAGGAGATGGACAGACAGGTGCAGCAGCTTTTGGCTGACGGTGTCATTGAGGAAAGTTGTAGTCCATGGTCCTCTCCCCTGGTGCTGGATAGGAAAAAGGATAATAAATGGAGGTTCTGTGTAGACTACAGGGGCCTAAATGCCGTTACAGTGAAGGATTTCCACCCCCTCCCCCGGGTGGATGACACTTTGGATGCTCTAGCGGGGGCCACATGGTTCAGTACATTAGATCTTGCAGATGGCTACTGGCAAGTTGAGGTAGCTGAGGAAGACCGTGAAAAGACTGCCTTCACTACTGGACAAGCGGGTGATGGGTTTTGCGCATGTGCCGTTAACCTTGAACTGTCGGACTGGAGGGTGGAGTCACTAGACTCTCTGTGTAGACCTTCATTCGTTCGCAGGCTGCTGTGGTGTTAACAAGTGAAGCTTCCAAATCAACAGAGACGTGTTCCCGTACTCCAAAGGTATTTTTTGCCTATCTCTTATTTGTCCTGAGACCACGAGCTCGAACATCTACAGCTCGCCCGTTACACTAGTAGCATGGACGATAAGGACTGTAAAGACTCACCAGTTTTTCTCCTTGAAGCATCAACATGTTCCATCTTTGTTGAAACACCTTCCTTCTGCATCAATCTTTCTCTTCCTGGACATTTTGGGATGATGTGTAGACGGTTATTTTCACTTGTTTCATTAATTAAACATGGAAGTGGATACACTGTGACCTAGTGGCGAGTCACTGCATTGGGAACACAATCACCATGCATTATGGGAAATGTAGTTTATAGCCAATGTGCTATTTGAAGCAACATAAGCTGTTTTTATAGGACCAGAGCGTTTGCAAAACGGGATTTGCTGTGGCTCCTTGGGGAGGATAAAGGTCGTTTATAAGATCAGACCGTGGTGGTAATGTGGCGCAATCGTGGCAATTTTATAAAAGATTAGGTGATGGTGGCATAAAGGGGGTAAGGGGCGTTCTCTGTGCTGCCACAGACATCCGTTTATCTTGGACAGAACTTGCTTTTTATTGCGATTGAAGCCGTGATCGTTAAGTTTTTTTAACAAGCAGCTCCTAAAGGTGTCTGTCCGCATCAGTCCCTGTGCAGTCTCTGGTGATCTGAGCTTCAGCTCTAACAGAGAGGCTCATGGAGCGCTGCGGTGCTCCAGTTTGCCATCTCAGCTGATTTTGTTCAAAAAGCAAACCTTATTGCCCGTGTTTACTTTTATTTTCAGTAAATTTGCCAGCCGGAGCTCAGCAATAACTCCCCACGTCATCATGACACCTGCCTCTGTTGTGCCAGGGCGCATACGACAGACCATTACGGCAATATTACTACCAAGCAAGGCGGAATGAATGTCGCAAAATTTGCGCGCCATGCCGGCATGGCGCGTTTATACAGACATGCCATTGCGGTAATATTATGCCGATTTGTCAGCATGGTGTGTCTTGTAAAAAGGGCTATGGACTTATTTTAAGACACTTGAATCTCTCGCGGGCCACATAAAATGATGTGGTGGGCATCATCTGACCCACGGGCCTTGTGTCTGACACGTGTTTTAGATGATAAACACAGCTGATTTGTTTTATTTGATGATGAATCGCTCCTGTAGACACTATTGAAGGCTGAGGAGATGTTTCAGCTGTTAGATTAGGGTGTTAAAAAGATGAACGCACAGCGACAAAATAAGTTTTGCTTTTGGTTCTATAAATGCACACTAGGGGGTGCTAAAGCAAGCCATCTGGGCATGTAGAAGAGTAAAGAACAGAATAGAATAGAACATTTCTTTACTGACCCTCGGTGAATAAATTTTGGTGTTTCAGCAGCAATTAAATTCACAGTAGGAGCAAAGTAGAATAAAATATAACAAATAAGAAAAAAATAACGTACATTAAACTAAAATATGCAAGAAAAAAAAGATTATATTCAATTGATCACTTTAAAAATATTTAAAAAAAATCTATGTAGAGAAACTAACAGAATATTTACACATTTAAATGTGTTAAAACAACATATTTTTACAATTTTCCACTTTTTTTCTTAAACATTATTTATTGATATATATATAGATTTAAAAACTCTCCAGCTTATTAAGTGTTCTGTAATAATATAAATATGCAGAAATGAACAGAACCTTGCACTGAGCACCTTTCTACTTTCCAGAATTAGACCATTTAATTCCAGCCAGTTTTACTTTAAACAACTATGTAAATGATGGGAATTATTCATCCACATTTTTTCACGTTTCTGAATGACCAAAGAGCCTGGACTGAGATATTTAAAGAGACAGACATGAGGAGCACAATATTCCGCTTATTACATTTTATTATCCAAGGAACAGTAGCTCTAAACTCAATACTGTTGTCTTCTCAGTCTCTGTGGGACAGTGGTCCAGAGAGCCGTCGCTCCAGCTGGACCAGCATCAGCCGAGCCCCCAGCCTCCACAGGAGGAGCCAGTCAGGAGAGATGGAATCTCTGCTGTCAGACCCCAGCAGCAGGGAGCATTCTCTGGACCAGTCGGACCACCTGCAGGTGCCCACGCTCCTCTCACCTGACTGCAACGGCACCACATTTCACCTACCAGACCACAGCTCTGGTGAGGCTGCACTGACAACGTTTTATCACGACGACCAGGAGGAGGAGGAGATAGAGGAGGTGAGAGGTTAAAGGATTTTGGATGAATGCTGACTGTAACATCTGGTTGTCTCATTCTAGCTTTTACTTATTAATACTTGGTTTTGAGGATAAAAGTACTGTAACAATAGTCATTTATTGAATCTACAGTCTGAAATAGTAAAAAAATAAAAGTTTTTAAATGATCATGCATTTTAGTTTCTCATCTTACTTTTTTCAGAGTTTAGCCAAGAAGCTGAAGAAGATTCTGGAGCCATATGAGCCTCAGTGGTGCAGAGAGCATGAAGAGTGGTCCCTCTACCTGTTTGCTCCACATAATGAGTAAACACACACACACACACACACACACACACACACACACACACACACGCACGCACGCACGCACGCACACACACACACACACACACACACACACACACACAGAAACGTACACTTTTACATGGATGAAGTTATTGTGCTTCATTCTTGTGTGTCTCTGCAGGTTCAGGCTGTGGTGTCAGAAGGTCATAAGTCACAAACTGTTCGATTACATCGTGCTGCTTTTTATTTTTCTGAACTGCATCACGATAGCGCTGGAGAGGCCTGATATACATCCAAGAAGCATGGTAACAAAAACACACTTTTCTTGTTGTTGGTTTGTTGATATGACAATTATATCTTATTAGCAGCTTTTTATTGGTTATAATTTAGCTTGAAACTGTTTTTTTCTTGCTCTTAATCAAGATATGACACTAAGTCATCAAAATCTCAGAAGGCTCAGTGTTATGTTTACAGATCCATACGTTTCAATTTTTGAGCTACAAACATTCAGTCATGTGCCGACACATTGAGTAGTCCCTTATTTCTTTATATTTTGATTCTAAAAGGACCCATGAGACATTCATGCACTAAAGGGGGAAATATTATGACTTAATTTCTTAAATGATTATAGTTCTATGGTCGATACAAAACATGTTCATGAAGTTCTTTGCTCTAAATCCCTCTCACATGAAGCAATCTCAGCAGTTGTCTTCTGGACAATTTCAGTATCTTCCAGAATGAGTTGTGTCAGGGCTCTGTCACTTTAAGAAAGCAAACGGGATCCCACACATCCCCTGCTCATGCGGCTATAAGCTAAGAAGCTCTGATACCTGGAAGGGACTTGGAGTAGAGAAGTGCTTTCGTTCTAATTTCCCCATTTGTGACATCACAAACGGGGACTTGCTGAAACAGTGTGTTTTAGGCACATAATTCCTAAAACCAAGCACAGACAGAAAATGGTTAGATGTTTTTTTTAATGTTTGAAGTGTTCATAGAAACATATGTCCCCTTTAAAAATTCCTAACAAGGCAAGAGATGAACCGCTGATTTGTTGACACATGAACTCATTCACTGCCAGCCGTTTCCTGATCAGTAAAACCCTTCACTGCCAGCATTTTTCAGCATTTTCACAGTTTTTTTAAGAGTCACAGACTGTTGCCTTCTATGATTATGTCAATGCCAAAACTACCAAAACAAAGGGTAGACCCACCTCTTACATCAGGAAGAATCCGCGTGTTTCGAGCGTTATCCGTTCTTTCTTAATCCATTGTCGAATTGTGATTGGCAGAAGCTTTTCCGGTTTGTGTCTCACTTTTGTTACAGCAGCGGCTCAAAACCATCGCCTAACACATGGTTGTTCTGCTTCCTGATCACGTGACATGTGACGTACACGAATGAAGATCAGCTTTAGAGCTGGAATGTTTGTTCTCACGGTGCGGGGGCTTGCTCTGACGCCGACATAGTAAAAAACATGCAAATGACGACTTTAGTCGTCAATGGCAGTGAATGAGTTAAAAGGAGTTACTTTGGTTGTTTTGGGTATTTGATTACTATTCACGCACATTGCTGCAGCAGCCTTTCACATAGACACATCAAAAAATAAATAAACAACACTATTTGACACATAAAATGGATTTTCTGCTTCAACAAGGTGGTTCCCAAACAACTACTAGCTGAAAATTTGACCATCAACTACAGCATGATCCGTTGTGGACTTTTTAAACCTTGACATGCCTTCTTTTGCCCTCCACTTGTCAACTTTTTAAGTGCACACTGTGAAAAACGCTGTCATGACCACGCACAGCACGAGAACTGGACATAAAATCAGCCAAACAGCAACTCACAGAAAACCCTGACACACAGACTACAAAAGTGCTTGGCTTTTTGGAAGATTATAAAGAATTTACAACTGAATCAATATATTTCTCAGTTCTCTGGGAGAATATGCTCCGATCCTAATTTTTTTCTCTCTCATACTGCACACAACAGTTCTGTGTAAGATGCACAGTTTTAATTCCATGCTGTCGTTCTTTTTTAAAACACAGAAACTGTTCCGTTACCTGTTTTTTCACTACGTTTCGTCTGCGGCTGCAAACTTCCTCAGGCTGACGCTGATGGTGGCGCGTCACTTCCTTCTTCGTTTATCCGCAGGCAGCAGAGGACGTTGTCGCCCTCTGCTGCCCGCTCTCCCCTCTCCGACGATGCAGTCCCATGCGTGGTCCAACGATTAAACTCCATCTTCCCTGTTCATGGTCCCACATCCACGTCTCCTTATCTCGATTGCTTCTTTTATCCATCTTTTGTATTTCTGTTGTTCGGTGTTTATGATCCTTGTGTTGTCCCAGTCCATTATATGCTCTTCTCTTGTGCAGTGATCTGTTATGGCTGACTTCTTTATTGTGCTTTCTGCTTCTTCTTTTTCTGCTCTTGTGTGTTTTCGACTTGTTTCTTTCTCACACTCCTTTCTATGTTCTGTTGTTCGTGTGTTGAGTTGGCGTCCGGTTTCTCCTATGTATGTTTTATTGCAGAGTTTGCATGGGATTTCGTAAACGACTCCACATTTAAGTCCAGCTGATATTTTGTCTTTTGGGTGTACTAGTCTGTTTCTAACTGTTGTGTATGGTTTTGTTGGTGTGTTTATGTTGTGTTTTTTCATTGTTGCTCTTATTTTTTCCGTTATGCCTCTGATGTATGGTAGGGTTATCACTGGTTTTGGTTCTTGTCTTTCTGGGTTTCTGGTTCTTTGCTTAGGTTGTTCTTTGCTTTCTGTTGTTGTTTGTTGTTTTCCTTTGTTTATTGCCCATGTCGGGTATCCGCAGGTCTTTAAAGCGTGTTGTATGTGTTTGTCCTCTTGTTTACGGTCTCTTTCTTCTGTTATTATGTTTGCTCGGTGATATAATGTTCTGATTACTGACATTTTGTGTATGGTGGGGTGTTCTGATGTCCATAATAAATATTGGTCTGTGTGCGTTGGTTTCCTGTATGTGTTTATGTTTAGGGTCCCGTCGGTCTGCCTGCTTATTTTCATGTCCATAAATGCTATACTGCCTTCTGTTTCTGACTCATAAGTGAACTTTATGCTGCCTGTGTCGTCCATGTTATTCAAGTGTTGTGTTAGTGTTTCTGTTTGTCCTTTTGGTATGATTTCCAGTAAGTCGTCTACGTAGCGTTTCCATCGTTTTATTTTGCAGTTTGGGGGGGGGCAGTGGCTATGGCTTTTGCTCTAGGTCTTCCATGAAAAACTCGCACAGGGTGTCTGATAACGGCCTACCCATGGCGAAGCCTTTCAGTTGTTTGTATATTGTGTTATCGTATACAAACGTAGACGAAACATAGCGAAAAAACAGATAACGGAACCGTTTCTGTGTTTTAAAAAAGAACGACAGCATGGAATTAGAACCAAGACACAGCAAGAACACACCTAAGATGCACAGTTTTAGCTCTTGTCTCTCCAGGGAACAGTTGCTTCTGACGGAGCAGCTCACTGGTCAATGTAAAGATTTCCAAAGAAGCTGCTTCGTCTTAGAACGCAACTCAAGAATTGTTTTAATTCAGAGAAATGGGAAAACATTTGGGTGGACTGAAGGCTGCACTTTTTAAGAAATAAACATTGAATATTTTAGGCTAATATTTTATACATAAATTGTGCAGAAAGGCCAGACAGCTGCAGATTCAAAAATCTGCAAGCGACTAATTCCCAAAGCATCATGCAGAGGTTTGAATGTACCTACTTGTGTTTTTTAAATGTAAACAACAAAATCAATATGCTACCCCTTCCTTGCTCTATTCCTTGTTTGTCTTGTGGCTAGAGTTGTTTTGGCTGATAAATCTCTCTAACCACAGGAAACAACACAATGGGTTTAGTGCTATTTGTTAGGGAGTTGGAACACACAAAACATCTGATATGAATGTGAGCAAAGCAGGCACCAATTATGCTGCTTCTCTCTTAAGGTTATGTAACCCCTGACTCTGATGTCAAGTTTTCACGTATTAATCATCTCTTGTTGCCCACACAATTATGTGGTGCCCCAGAGACCTTGCAGGGACGAGCATGACTCCAAAGCCTCGTGCATCAAAGTGGAAATCTGCCTTCACACTCACTCTTTCCCTGTAAACTCTTTCATGTACCAGTTTGTGTAGTAAAACCTTCATTCTAGCTGTGGCCCCATCGATCCTAGTATTGACTGAACTAATACCAACGCCGACATTAGCATTGATCACTACTAGCATGATGGGATTGCTATTTCAGCTTCAGTTTCTCTCCTTCACACCTGGTGCGCCGCTACTTTTCCATTTAAAGCAGACGTGTCTGTGCAAACACCAAATGCTTTCGCAGCTCGCCTGCTCACTTCGCCCCTCCTCTGCTGAGCAGAGCTCTGTTGTGTGCCGTCACGTAACTCGCCGAGAACACACAAACACATGTTGGCTGCAGAGAGCGATGACAGTCTGAGACAAAGAGAGAGGGGAATCACGTGGAGCTAATTTACCACCTTTAATAAAAACATTGCCTATGTGCAAAGGTAGGCTATTTGCTGCTGTAGACACCTCACCTATGTATGTAAACAGGCAAATTCCGTTTTGCAGAAGGAGTCCTTTTAGGGAGGTAAAGGATGTTGAAATGTGGAGTGTGGGATGTTTTTCTAGAGCATTTTTTGCCGTGTTGCTCAAAAGGCTCTTCACATACTGATGGCAACCAGTAAAGGAAATGTTTTTTTTTTTTTTTTTTTTTTCACAAAAATTAAGTGTTAATCACGTCTGAAATGAACAATCCTGGAAAAAGTCATCCAATCATGTTGAACGTCTCGTTCTTCATGATTGGATCATAACCCTTCCATAAAACTGCTCCTCTCAATGTGTCTACCCCTCATATGTACAGGAAACGCTCGTTCTCGGTGGAGCAGCTGAACAGGAAGCTTGCTTAGGCGCCTAGTGTCACGGACCGAATGTCCCTTTCTGTTTGTGGATTTCATTTAAGGACTTGTTTTACATGCTCTGTTCAGAGGTTCTGTTCTTGTTGGGAAATGTTTAGGTGACGGAGCTAAGTGTGTGTGTGTGCCATCGACATAGAAATGCCGACGCCGCCATGAGCAGGCAGAAAAGACAGAGTTCTGTTCTGGAAGTTTCTACTTGTTAGTGGTGGGGTTTCCCCAGATCGTTGGTGGCGCTGAGCTGTTGAGATTTCGAAGTTAGAATTCTATAAATGCTAGCCCACTAAATTAGAGCAGCCAATCAGGAAGCAAAGCCAGCAAGCCAGCCACTTCCATGCGACTCGGACTCGGAGGAGGTTCCATGCAGAGTTGGTTCT